TCTTTCTCCTTGAGTAACAGATTCAGTTGCATTTATTGATGCAGCAGCAGACTGTGTTAAGTGACAGCGGTTTTCCGAAGTACTCCTGAGCCCATGTGGCTATATTTAACACCACAGCATGACAGTTTCTTATGCAATGCCATCTGAGGGCTCAAAGGTCATGCACATTCAACTGAGGTTCCTTGCCTTGCCCCACACAGACTGAGATTTCTCTGGATTCCCTGAATCTTTTCACAAAATTATGTATGGTATTGGTGAAAGACCTAAATTCTTTGTGATTTTGCATTGAGAAATGTGATTTTTGATTTGTTTGACATTTCTCTCGTGAAATTTGGCACAAAGTGATGAGCCATGATCCAGCTTTGCTTGCAAAGACTGAGATGCTACTTTTATACCTAAACATGATACCCTGACCCATTACCAATTCACCTTTCAAAACAGTTTAATTTGGATCTTCTATTACCTTTTCACTTTTGTTTTTGCCTCTGTCATAACTTTTTTGGAGTGTGTTGCAGCCATTAAAATCAAAAGTTGTTTCTATTATATTATATACAAAATACATTTAAGTTGGTCAGTGAAAACTTTGGAAAACTTTTCTTTGTACTTTTGTTGATGAAATTAAAGAGAATCTTGATTTTATTGCATTTAACAAAATGTACCAACTTTTTTGGAATTGGGGTTGTACAGACACCCATTTACACACACACACACACACACACACACACAACACACACACACACATATATATATATATATATATACTTCTGTATGTACATTGTGGCAAAAAGGTTTATTCTATAAATGTTACAATATAAACTGCATGTAGCATTATTGCTCACAGTTGTAAGGTGGAAAGACAGTTTATAGTAACTAAATTATAGATTATAAAAACAAAATTAAAAAGTCTGAATGTTAACAGGTCAGAGGAGCTGGAACACACACATTAACATGTTATTGTCATTTATTTTTTCCTGTAAGAGTAAATGACTCTTTATTAAGACCTGATAACTGTTGCTATTGTAAAAATCTATTTTTTATAAAATAATACTTTTATTGTCATAAAGGTTCAGGGTCAAAAACCCAATACATTCACACTACAAATGTCAGGTCAGGGCAAGTTTTCAAATTTTTATTGGGACTTATCACAAAGGCTTGACGCGTTCAAAGAACAACATCTGTGTTTTCTTCTTCTTCAAAACAAATAAATAAATAAGAATAAAGCCTTCCAGAATTTACAAGAAATTTTGAGAAGGTGTTCCTTTATTTATTATACTAAATGTTATTATTATTTAATTGTATTATTTAATAGTAAATAATTGTATCATTAGATTAGTTCAACTAGTTTGTTCATATGTAGTGTGCTGCCATCTAGTGGACAAATTCTAAAACACAGTTTTTTTGGTGGCCACTGTGCTTTTGGGGCCTTGATGCAGCAGAATTTTTGTAGCCTTCCTCAGATCTGTGCCCTGACACAATCCCATCTCTGAGATCTGGCTTGGTTTTTTGATCTGATTGCATGTAGTGTGCTGCCATCTAGTGGACAAATTCTAAAACACAGTTTTTTTTGGTGGCCACTGTGCTTTTGGGGCCTTGATGCAGCAGAATTTTTGTAGCCTTCCTCAGATCTGTGCCCTGACACAATCCCATCTCTGAGATCTGGCTTGGTTTTTTGATCTGATTGATCTCATGTTCACCAGGCCCAAATGGAAATATACACTCTAAAAACACTGAGTTAAAAACAACCCAATTTGGGTTATTTTTAACCCAAGTTCTTGGTAAATATAGGACGGAACACATTTTGGGAGACCCAATTTGGGTTATTTTTAACCCAAGTGCTTGGTAAATATAGGACGGAACACATTTTGGGTTAATTTTAAAGTTTATGTTCACACACTGTCAGTTTTTGGGATTGACAACCGCATTACAGGTTAGAGACAAAATGTCACGTTGACACAGCAACAGCAGCTACTTGAATACTGTCTGAGTATACTGTCTGCTTCCATGTACAACTGTTGGCACAAGCTACATTAAAGTGATTATTAGTTTTGAATATGAATATTTTTCTTACAAAAACGCATCGATTAGCTACAGGATTACACATGCAAAGCATGCAATGACTGTGGCAACTTTAACATTTGAAAGGATATGGCAAAGTTATTGCTTTCCTTATTCAAACTGTTTTTTTTCATGAATATATGGTTGACCTGAAGAATGAAAGCTATATCATACACTTGAAAAATTATGAGCTATATCACTGCTTATCAACACTAGGGGTGTAACAATTCACTTAGCTCACGAGATGAGACAAAATACAGATACTTGGTTCACTAGAACGAGACAATATTTTAATACTATTTTTAAGAAATTTTCAATGACAAAATATTTGTCTTTTAATTACAAAAAGTAAAACAATGCAGTTGTATTTTGAAATATTTTAACTAATCTAGGGCTGTAACTAATGATTATTTTGGTAATCAAATTAATCTACTGATTATTTTGACAACTGAG